TCTTTCCCTGCTTGGAGTCACTCCAGGTTTCCCTTTGCGCTCCAGATTTCAGTAAACTCCATTTCCAAAGGAAACACAATCCAAATACCCACACTCTACCTAGCTTCAGAGTCCAACCAGAACTTCTCTTCTGTGTACGACCAACCTCACAAATCTCCAAACAAAACAAAACTGAAATTTGCATGCATCCTAGGTTTATTTAGAAGGTCTCTGCACTTTGATGTGGGCCTAATAAAATTCAAAACTAGGTAGGTCATGATCAAATAAGGCTTAGAGAGGTGCCCTCCATTCATTCATTTCTTTTAGCTGTTCTGAGTCCAACAGGCACCTACTTAGGTTCTTGTTAGTCAGATGACTGCCAGAGTCAGTGGAAAAGCAGCAGACATTTTGATGCCTCCTTATGCAGCCTTATGCCACATTCCTTTTCCAACTCCTTCGATACCAAGTGCTCTAAGCTTTCTAGGAGATCCTGGGTGCCCTGGAATCAGCAGCTTTACCCTTGTTCTGAGTAGTGGGAGTTAAGCATGTTAAATGACTTAAGGACATACATCCCCATGAGAAAGGGCCATCCTTTGGGAATTAGAGAGAAAAGCATTTAGAAGCATGTCATATTTTAGTAGAGCTAATCCAAATAAATAAATGAATGAGCTGTTCATCATCTGGAAGAAATAGCAGGAGGAATTCTCTGTACAATATTAGAAATAAGCAGCTCTTGACATAAGTCCTCCTGAGCCTGCCAAGGCTTCTTGAAACAACACAAGCTTTTCCTCATGTCTTAACGTCAGCTCCTGTGTCGAATATCTACTGGCTTGCAAAGGGAAAGGGCTAGAGATAAGGTTAGGTTTTACAGGATAGGGCCTTGAAAGGACACCTTGATATTCTTGAGGAATCATAGTTTATTCATCTCTCATTCAATATGAAGTCCCCAATATCAAGAGAATTTCAGTCTTCTGTGTCTTTTATCCATGCATGAATGAGATTTCTTTTCTCCTGCAAACACATATTTGCAGCTAGAATATTCAGCATTTTGCAAAAGTAAAATATGATCCTTAGAGTTCCCGCAATACTGTTGCTTTGCACAGTCCTGGAAGCAGAAAACAACCTCAGAGTGTAAATGCACTTCACAGCTCTACACAGCCAGGATGCTAATCAAGCTACGCTACTCTAAATAAATGTCAAACTCAAAAGAGTAGATGGACCTAAGCCTGTGTTTTGTGTAGACAATTCAGAGAGGGAGAACAAGGCAGCTAATTTTCCCCCAGTTTTGGCCCTGTTCTCATTGCATTAGAACTACTGCATCATATCAGTACAACCAGGAAACCTACTACAAACTGTCCATTTACAGATCTTGCTAATCTTCCAGGATCAAAAGTAAAATCTGTACAAGTAAGAACCATGTCTTTGGGCAGATGCACTAGTATTTATTCAGACAACACCAGTCTGATGCATCTGTGTCAGAAAACACAAAAAGTGTAAAAGGCTTGGTAAAGTTGGAAGCTTTTTCTGGGTATAATAACCAAGAACACTTCAGGTGCCACAGGTGCCAGTAAATTTTCCTTGCAGCCCTTGCTGCCTAAGATATGTATCTTACAGCTGTTCTTCAGTGATAATATATCAAGCAGAGAACTTGCTTCTCTCAGCCTAAAACAAATGAGTATGCAGAAATAAAGAAAACGAAGCTGACAGTTCTCAACTCAGACTGCAGTGGTCCTCTAGACATTGAGAAGACACTTGAGTTTGGAAGCACAGAGGTTTTCTTGTTTGTATCTAGCTTAGCTGATAAACTCAATCAAACAGTTATTTGTTCTCCCCCACAAATGCTGCGTAAGATACAGAATGTCTCAAAAGCTTAAAATTAGAGAAGAATTTAAATAAAATCCCTGGACCCAAACCCTTATTTCCAAAAGCATGCACTCACAGACAGCAAATCTGTATCATTATGCCATTTTTAGTGTAAATAAATAAAAAACACACACCACCCCTTAAAGCTTTTATTAGGGTTTTTCAATAAAGTCTAGAATTTGAAACTGGAAGTGTTGAAATACCATGAAAAAATATTCTCATGGTACTTCAAGCCAAGACCAGAAGCAGAAAAGCTGGAAATCTCATAAGAAAGTCATGAGACTCATGGCCAAGTTTTTCAGTCTCATGGGGTTCAAATACATGGGACATTTATTTCAACAAACCTGAACTCTAAAACATTCTGAAAAACACCCACTGAACTGAGCAAGACTAGCAAGATTTACAGCCTTCAGTGAACACATATGATGCCCAACCCTACCAATTTACTTATTTTATACTTTGAACCAATAAGGTCATTTGTGCCACCTCTCCCTTGGTGCTGGGATACTTACACAGTCTCCAGTAATTTTAGACTTCTTGAGGTTTCATGTCAGGCAAAAGGTTGCTGCAGAGCTACACAGGCTGACACAAATGGATTAGTCATTTAAATCCAGAGCAATTCTGAAGTAACAATATAATCTGAATCTGTAAAATGAGGATGAACTGCTGGTGGCAGTATCTGGATAGACAGGACTAGATAGCCACCTCTGTAGCATAGCACTCCTGTCTAAGAGAGACACAGGCTGGAATAAAGAAGTATGGGTCTCAGCCTCAAACAGATGCTAAAAGATCTCTCTGTCCAGTGACTCTGAAAAGTACCCAGACCAGTGTGGTCCCAGCCACACCTCTGCTGCTGTCACATTTGCCAGCAAAAACAAACATATAATTTGTTTGGCTTACTTAAGAGAATTTCTGCATTAAAACTGCTCTGTTCCCTTGTTGCAAGCAGGGTCACAGGCACTTGTCATCTTTATGGACATTTAGACTGATGAGTCTCAAGAAACTATAGAAGGAGCTCTAAGAAAAAAAAAAAGTACAGATTTAAGCAGCCCATACTTTTCTGTTATTTATAGTGAACTTGGCACTCGTAAAAGAGCTGCAGCCACAGAGGCTGAATGCTTCTGTCTATCTAAAGAAAACTAGTAGAACAAGAGATTTCCCAGTGGCTTGACATGTATCCCCACATGTAAAATCTTTCTACAATCAGGACTTTTGTCATGTGAAATCCTATAGGAGCACAGAGAGTGGTCAGATGGGAGTAAGGATGTGGTGGAAAGCCTTGATTTTCCTCTCAAAGGCCCATCCACTGGATAACACTGACCTGCCAATTGATGTGCCCTAAAATCTTTAAGGGATGCATATGACATGCCACCCTTCCACTATTTTTTGGTGACAGCAACAGCTGCGATTCCCATCCTGTGTGGAACAGATAGTCTCTGATGTAAAGAGTTGAGAGCTGCCAGCATCATCTAGATAACTTTTAATTTACACAGGTTGAAGCTAAGCAGATCACCAATCTCTCTTCCTCATAGAGCAGAGAAAGTTCAGTAAATCCATTTCCACAGTTAATGTTCATTCAGATTTACTGTCTTATGTTTTTGAAGCTTCATGTATTCCATAAGATTTAAATCCCAAATACTGAAGATCTGCCCACTACTCAAATAAACCACTCCTTTTTTTTTTAAATATTTCTCTGCCAATTCCAAGGATAATTTATGCATTGTGTAAAAATTTTTTTTCCTTTTTAAGCCTTTAATGTCTTCAAAATCCATGGCACTGAAAAGAGGACAGATTAAGATAGGAATATTTCTTGCTTTTCTACTCACCAGACTCAGCAAATGGATTTCATAAAGCTGCTTTAGTCTTACTTGCTAAATTCCCCTGCCTGACCTTTTCAATTTTCTGAAAGGTAACAGTAACAGACTGGAGTATCACAGACCACTTGACGTCAGTTAAAAAAAGATCTCATTTCTTTATTGAAGTGGAAGTTGCTTAGTTCTCAGTATGACTGTTGGCCTCATCTTAACTAACGCTCATGTTTCAATGGGTTTTTATTTGGAATTCCAATTTAAGATAAAGCTACTGAGGCCCAGAATGACTCAGTGATTCGCCCAAGGAAGATTTCAGCTGTTCCATGCTGAATCCATGCTTGGTAATTATCTCCTTTATGATGTCTTTACCCGCTTTCCTGTCTTAACTGTTGTTTGGATAAGCAAGACAACGCTGACAACTCACTGAACAGGACAGGCTGTTGACACCAATTATTTCTGGATAATCATTGGCAACAAGGCCAAAGAGCAGAAACAGCCTGTATTCAAGATGCTGCACTAAGCTCAAGGCTTATGTGAACCCCACACAACATAGTTTCATTG